GGGGGACTGAGAAAGAGAGAGAGAGAGAGAGGAGCAAAGAACAAAGGCAAAATGAGTGAGCTCCTGCTGATCGTCTATATCAGGTTGACATCTCTTTACTCATTCATTCTTGAATCGGTGGGTTATTGCATGGCTGGTTAGGGAGTAAACAACAAATTAATACACTGAATCTCTGAGAAAAACATTACCTCGGAATTAAAAGTTGTACTCATGTGAATTGTTAAAGATATACGCATGTGTTATTTATATATATTATGTGTTATGCAAGTCATTTGTTGACCGATTTATTAATTCATTCATTACATAATAATATTTAAATAAAATAACTATAATAAAAAATAAATATTTCTTTGCTTTCAAATTATTAAACTATAATAATAACTATTATTACTATACAAAATATATTATTATTACTATTATTAATATTACTATTATTATTATTATTATTATTATTTAATAATAATATTGTTGATGATGATGATGATGATGATGATGATGATGATGATGATATTAATGTTTTACAAAAATGTACTAAACTTATTCCATATTTGTTATGGTTTGTAAGCCAAAAAACTACAGTATAATTTAAGACAGTACAATTACAGTATTAACATTTAATAATATTAAAATTTACATTTCTAAGCTTTTGGTTTTTTTTAAAGATAACTCATAACTTAAAGATAAAAAATGTATAAATGTTGTAAAACAAATTATAGTAATAGTAATAACAACTCAATATTGTCCTATATAATAAAAAGAATTGACCTATAAGAACAAACAAAAAAACAAACAATGGAATGAACGAACGAATAAATAAACAAACTAACCAACTATGAAAGAGCAAACTAATTTACAAATAATCTTATTAACTAACGAACAAACAAACAGAGGAACTAATGAAGAAACAAACAAATGAATAAGCTAATGACTATTTAATCTAACTGACAAACAAAAGAACAAAGATGAAGAAATGAACAAACAAACAAATAAAGGAAGGAAGGAATGAAACAACTAAAAAACTAACTAACTAACAAACAAACAAACAAATTTACAAATAATTTAACTATCTGACCAACAAATGAACAAACTAAGAAACAAACAAACTATTGAACATTTAAACTAATTAACAAACAAGCCAACCAACTAACTAACGAACGAATGCATGCAAACAAATTTAAAACAACTCATAATAATGTTTAAAAAAAGTTAACTTATTAATGATTATAAATTTTTCAATAATTACAAATAACAAAAACTAAATTGCAATAGTTACTATAAATGTTATTTACTGTTATTATATTGTATGATGACAAAGTTTATAAAAAAATAAAAAATTAAAAAATTAAATAAAATAAAAAATTAAATAAAATCACAAAAAATTTTACAATTTTGTCAAAAGAGAATTTAAGTCTAGGCGTTGATTTAGAGTGCAAAGTTTTAAAAAAGTGAAATTTAAAAAGTCATTTGTACATCAGGGTGTATTGGAGCTGAATAAGACTCAGGTAACTTATTTTATTTAATTTTTTTTGTATGTCTCTGTTTCTTTGTAAAGAGTATTTATCATGCTGTTAATAGCATAAGTCTGACAATTAAGTATTGTATTGTATTGTATTGTATTGTATTGTATTGTATTGTATTGTATTGTGCTGTATTTATAGTGCTTAAAATGTAGGACTTCTCCCTCAGATTGTCATATTTGACGAGGTTCATACTTAACATGTGCATACATCTGAAAAAATCACATTCCTATGCCTTCATTGCAGTATGAAAGCTGCATCTATTTAATGACATTATAATAAAGAGAAAGATCAACAGCCAATCAGAAATCAGGAAGTGCTGAATCAAACACTTAAAAAAAACCTATTTTAATTCGTTTCTCTCTCTTATCATTGGTCAAGCGAAATTAGCGATTTATAAATTTTATTTGATTATTAAATATTAGTCATTTTGTATTTGTAATATTTAATAGTATTATAAATTATTATTATTTAAATATAATAGTAATATCAATTTAATGTAATTTATATTTCTTTAAAAAATGAAATTTTTCATAAGCGTTATAAATCAGCGTGATTAATTCTAAAATTACTGTTGATTTTAATGATTATGAAATAAAAAATGCAGTCAATGTTTTTGAGATTGAATGGTATTGTGATGTTGGGTTGTGTTTTGTTATTAACAAGGAGCTGTTTTTCTTGTTTGTTTGTTTTTTGCTTTTTTTAATAAATGAAATATTTTGAATACTACAGTGCAAATGTCAAATGGTTAAATCTTTTTATATTAAAATCTTAATTAGGTAATTAAGTCAATCAAAAATCTCTCTCTCTTTTAAAATCAGTTCACTGTACAAACCACCACATGACGAACAAACCAAAGACAAACCGTGCTAATATTAATGCTAAACACCAGCAGTAATGTATTAGCACCAGCGATAGCATCTGCAATGTTTACAAGCCACTGCCCTCTACATGCTGCACTAATAGGACGGGACTTAAGCTGTCTTATCAGCCTAATTCAGAAAAATTATTATTTCAGCAGTAATTAAAACATTTGAGCAGCGTGTAAGGAGAAACTCGGAGAGGCCGTTCATTTCCTCATGTCTCATTTATGAGTTTTTCATTCAAGTATCAACTTTCTCTCAAATGTGTCGGCT